TTTGAAGTACATGACGCGCAAGTCAGTGAAAGGGAGAGCGGTAGTGGAGCTCCTAGCCGATCACCCAGTGGAAAGGGGTGAAACAGTTGAGTACCTGTTCCCAGACGAGGCCATTCTGCATGTCGAAGAAAAGACTTGGTCGATGTACTTTGACGAAGCGTCAAACCAATACGAGTATGGGATAGGGGTGTTGCTAATAACAATTCCCGTATACCTCTAGCATTCAAACTCTGGTTCAAAGTATCGAACAATGAAGCAGAATACGAAGCACGTATTGCTGGACTAGAAGCTGCCCTAGAACTAGGGGCAAAACGGTTGGATGTCATCGGGGACTCGAATCTTGTTGTATCTCAAGCTAAAGGAGATTGGAAAGTTAAAAAAGAAAAGATGAGAATCTACCACCAGACCTTGGACGTGCTGATTCCTCGGTTTAAGAAACTAAATTTCGCTCATCTATTAAGAGAGAACAACAGGTTCGTTGATTCATTAGCAACTCAATCTTCTATGATAGACATTCCTTTCGAAGTCCAGATGCGTCCGATCATCATTGAATAGAAATTTGTACCGGCCTACAACCTGATTGCTGCCATAGATGAAGTACAAGATGAGAATCCCTGGTATTACGATATCTGGAACTTATTGGAAAAGGAAGCGTATCCACTAGGGGCAAATGCCAAAGATAAGAGGGCAATTCAAAGAATGGCTGCTTAGTTCATCGTCTGCGGAGGTGAACTGTACAAGAGAGGTCATCTACGGATGCATAAGTTGTGTGTTGACGTTGAAGAATCCAAGCGCCTGATGGAGGCCATCCATGGAGGAGAGTGCGGAGTGCACATGAACGGGGTAATGCTAGCCCGGAAGATCCTTAGACAAGGTTATTACTGGTCCACCATGGAGGAGGATTGTATTGGCTTTGTCCGGCGATGCCATAAATGTCAGATCCATGCAAACCGTATGAACATTCTACCGTCGAAGCTGTACAACATGACTTCGCCATAGCTGTTTTTAGTCTAGGGGATTGATGTAATTAGGGCTGTCACTCCAAAGGGGTCCAATGGGCATGAGTACATTTTGGTAGCGATAGACTACTTCACGAAGTGGGTTGAGGCCCAATCTTACGCTGTGTTGAAGGCATCGCATGTTGCTAAGTCCATCAGGAACAACATCAGCTGTCGCTACGGGGTCCCGAATGAGATTATTTTAGATAATGGTTCCCACTTCAAGAAGGAGGTGATCGACTTGTTAGAGAAATACGTGGCTTTTCATAAGTCATCTACATATCAGCCGCAAACCAACGGAGCGGTTGAGGCTGCCAACAAGAACATTAAACATATTCTGCAGAAGATGGTGGAAACCTACAGGGACTGTCCAGATAAGCTGTCATTTGCTCTTTGGGGCTACCAGGCTTCAATTCGAACTTCTACTGGGGCAACTCCGTATTCCTTGGTTTATGGGATGGAGGCTGTTCTACCTATCGAAGTTGAGGTTCTGTCATTATGGGTATTGGCTGAGTATCAGATAGCTGAGGCAAATTAGCAGCAAAGCAGGTTCGAGGAACTCATGCTCTTTGACGAAAAAAGGCTGAAAGCACTGTATCACGTTCAAGGTTATCAACGAAGAATTGCCAGGGCTTTCAACAAGAAGGTTAAGTCCAAGAATTTGAAGGAAGGGAATCTTGTGCTCAAAGACAACCGAGCTCCCATCCACGACCCTAGGGGCAAGTTCAGACCCAATTGGACTGGCCCTTACATCATCAAGTCTATCTGGTCGGGTGGAGCTGTCGTTTTGATGGACCTAGATGGCCTAGAGTTCTCCCAGCCGATCAACATGGACAAGTTGAAGAAATACTATCCCTGAGTGGCTCGCTAGGCCGAAAACCCGAAAGGGCGACCTAGGCAAAAGTTAGAGCATGAAAATTTTGAAATTATAAAAATTGAGCTTGCGCAAGGTTGAAAACCTAGAAAGGGCGGCCTTGGCAAAAATTAGAGCGCAAAAAGGAGAGTGTTAATACACGAGTGAACCCAAGCCGAACTACGTAAGGCTTGATTCCTATCTTTGGGATACATAGGCAACTTCATCCTGAAGTCCAGCCATAAACACTTCTAAATCAACTTCATCTGTGTGATCATGTTGGTCATCTTTGTCTATTCTGCATTGAAGAGCTCGGTTGTGATCTCCGATGCAGTGCTATTCAGACTAGGGGCAACTTTTCAGTTGCCAAGATCCGGGGTTGTACATCTCAGCGATTCGGGTGTGTCCAATTGTGATCCATATCGAAAATAGTTTTGAAAAGTTTTAACAAAAGTTGATTTTGCTCAAATTAATCTTTTTACTACTTAGACCATTTTTGGACCAAACGGAAAATTTGCAGTACCCATAACCTTCAATTGCATTGATTTCAGTACAAAGTTCTCCTACTCTTGAATACAAATTGAAGTTCCTTTTTATTGCATTCATAAAGAAAAGTTGAAAGTACTGATTAAAGCAAATAAATTCGGGGCATAGTCAGGTGTTCCTGCATCTCCTCCCAGAGCTGGTGGAAGCCTCTAATGCCAAAGTAGGCCCAACTTGTGCCTCTTCATCAAGCCAAGCTATACACTCGTCAGAGAGGGTGCAACTGAAAGTGGGAGCGGGGGCCAAAAGCTTTCTCGTCCTCCATGTTGTGGCATATCGAGCTAGCTGCGCGCCTCGGACCGAAAATGCAGCAGGGTACTCTATCCCATCTTCCGGGCAAGTCTGATCATGTCTGAACTGGCGCCAAAATCAGAACGGAAAGTAAAAGATACGGTGTGTCAGGCCGATCAACTGAATCCCCGACTGGCGAGACATGCTATAACTCATCGCAAGCAGATTGAGCCAAGGGCAGCGCCAAGCAATACTGGTAGCGAATAGACTGCACAACCATTCGCACCACCATCCCTCGTCAGGGGCATCGACTAGACATCGTCGGAAGAAATAGCCGCGAGTTGAATATGCTAGGCATGAGTCCACAACCTTCAATTTATCCATCAACCATATCTGGGGAGGGATGAAAAATAAGAGATTAAAGAATTGAGAGGTGTACGTGGAGAGAAAAGTAAAAAAAGGTTTTGAGAGAAAAACCGAGCCTGAAGGCCGAGTGATGTGAGAAATATATGTGAGATGGGGTGGGAAACATTACCTGTAGCAGTAGTGGACTCCCCGCGAATCTAGTCGTCTCTCGGCGATGGAAAGCATCGAAGCCCATCAGTGTCTCAGCCAGTGTCATGGCAATGCAGCTCTTGCCCTCTTTTAAGCCTTGGGCAACTTCGATCAAATGGACGCTAGACCCTCCGAAGCCTGAGGTAAGCAAGAAATAAGACAACATGCACAAGCAAAGCGCACGTCGTCGAAAACCCTGCCAATGATGGTCGTCGTGGTCACCGGCATCAGAAAATCGATGAACCAAGCTAGGGATGTCCAATCCCCCGTTGTGGATCAAAGACCGAGTGTCGTGCATAGTGAGCCCACACATCCGTCCTAAGGCTTGGATGTGGCCGAAGTGAAATTGTGGCAAAATCTCCTCCTCACGTTCAGACTCCATCAAAGCTTGGAATTCTTCGAAAGTGGGGCACATCTCTTGTCTGCTAAAGCTAAAAACGTGTGTAATCAGATTCCAATACCTTGCCGCAGCATGAAGGAACGGAAAATGCAGCGGGGTGCGGCTCAGCGTGAATAGTGCATTTATTCCGAAGCCCCGAAAATTTAGCTTTTCCGAGCCATCCAAATTAGCAATCCAATTTGTGAGATTTTGGACAAGAAATGCTTCCATTTGGTGCAAAAATTGAGCTGAAATGGAGAAACTACGAAGCTGAGGCTTTTGTAGAAGATAAGGTGTTCAGTGGAAGACAGGTGGCAGCATTCTGGAGGTTCTTGCCATTTTTGGCCAATCGGCAAGTAATGTTGGCCGATGGTCATTTCTCTTGGTTGATGACCTTATGCACTGGTCGATGGCCTCTCCTCTTGTTCTCTGACCTGTCTCTGTGTTGGAGGTGTTGAGAATTTGTGACTTGTTCCACTTCAAATGCCTTTCGGTGATGATTTTGCGAAGTCACGCCTGTGTTACTTCAATTTGTTTATCGAGTTGTTGTACTTTTATTTATCGAGTTGTATTTATATTTGGTTAGCATGTCAAGTTCTTTGTTTTGCTTATCGAGTTGTTTTGTTGTCAGTTGGTTCACTACCTGATTAAGGCGATGCAATCTGAGTGTGCAATTTTCAAACAAAGTTCAATCTTATTTACATTGTTATGTAATATGATGCGATGCGATGCTTAGAATGTACAAATGCAACACTTTTTCAACAAAAAAAGTTGTTTCATTCCATCATATTTTCGTTTGCAAAAGTACAAAGTTTTAAAGAACATATATCTGCCTGATGCAGTATAATATGCAAAAACTACTAGTAAAAAGAAAAATAAAGCAAAAAAAGAAGAGCAGCATCTGGGTCGGCGTCGGTCGCCTCAAGTGCGAGAATCCCTCCTCGTCCTCTTCTTGGACGAAGGTCCAGGATTGCCGCCTTCACCTCCGTTGTCTAAGCCTGAACCTGAGCCATCTCCAGCCTCATCCTGAGACGACTCTGCCTCTACCTCTGCCTCAGACTCGTCGTCATCTAGGACAGGCGCCCATGAGCTACTCCTAGAGTGAGTACGCCCAGCTCTGCTACGGCTGCGTGCTGAAATCCCTCGTCCTGCTCTCCTCGCTCCTCGGGCAGGTACTGATGGTCCTGTTGAAGCACCCGCCGCAACCGGTATCTGGAATGGGGCTTGAAAAGAACAAATTGGCAAATGCATTAGTTATGCTATGCGAAGTCGAGTATGGTATCGAATACAGTGTATGAATGCTATGAGCAGTGTATGAATGCCATGAGCAATGTATGATTATAGGGTATGAATGATAAGAGCAGTATATGAGTTACAGTGTATCAGTGCCGTGAATGGTATGTGAGTACAGTGTATCAAGTGTTGTATTAATAATGTAATGCATCAGATCAATAGGGAACAGACTATGCAAAGTTTTGGGACTGAGGTTGAAAGAACTCACAGGATACCGTAAATGCTCAACAGGTCTATGCTCCTCTGTAGCATCCCCATCACTGAGGCTGACAACTCCAGAGCCTGCCCAGTGTACTCGATGGAAGCCTGCAAAAGTGTTGAAGTGATTAGTATTCTGTGGGATATCAACTGAAATAAAATGACGGTACAGAATGAAAAGTATAGCACATACTGGGGTCGAGCCATGAACTCCGACGAGATCATGATCAGGCGGAGAAGGGGCGATGGGTATCTTATAAGTCTCTCCGCCCTGTCCTCGGCATGTCATGGTGGTGGGCAGCTCTGGCCACTCTGCTCTCCGTCCCCTCCAGGAACCACTCCTGTCACGGGCTTGAGTCACCCTCAACACTTCTGCTCCTCCTACTGGCGCTACAGGCCTCTCCCTCTCAACTCGGCGAGCACTGGCCAGAGGTCACATAAGATGAGTCTCGAAGAAGATGGTGTAGTCGCCCTCATCTCAGAAAAAGTCAGCGTCCCAACTGATCATGAAATCGGTCATCTCCTGCAGGGTGTACCTCTCTGTATGCCTCATATGGATAGGAGGGGGCCTCGGGACTATCTGCTCAGGTAAACCAAGGGTCTGTCGCAAGAAGCGCTCTCCCAAGTACCAAGCCCGGCAAACCAGACCCTCCAGCAAAACTCAGAATCGGGTAGTCTCCCAAGCACTCATATACTGGTCTCTCACTACATCAGGCAACACGGCCCAGGGCAGCCAGGTGATCTGTAAATGACAGGATATACAGTTTATTATCTTCTATTGAAAGTACAGTGTAAAGCGAAGCTTAAATGAACTGAAAGTTTGAAATACCTCTGTTGCGGCTATGGTGTCAAAGTATCTGCGAAAGAATAGGAAAAACTATCGTGGCCTCCCTCGCACCTCACATCGTATCGATGAGAATATGGGACAACAAGGAGCATCTCCACCTCCAGCTCTAGAGCAAGCCTCGGAAAGTAGGCATACACCCACAACTACAGAATGTAACAGGGCAACAGTGAGTATGTTTATCAGTAAAGCAGAATACAGATAAAGTAGAAATCGGAGAATGATGTGCAATGTATCGTGTAGTGTGTGAAGTGTCTTGTGCAGTGCGTGCAATGTACAGCCAGTGTAAAGCAGATTGCGTGTATGCAGTGTGTGTGGTGTATAGATAATGTAAGGCAAAACTGTAAAACAGAAAGGGAAGGTGTACCTCCCAGGCTCGCCAGTAGCCTCCTAGCAAATGTCCGCTGTGGTGGGATGAGGAACTCATGTACCCGTACAATGTGGCTAGGCCTGCGCCACCCCAATCATAGCGTCGGATCCGGGTCACATCCACCAGTGCGCTCAGTAGATAGAGTCCAACTGTGTTCACCTGGTCAGCAAAAAGAGTGGTGCCCAGCAAGAACATAAGAAACCCTTGGGCATAATGCTCGACCTTCTCCTAGGTCGTCAGCGTCTGTCCCCTAAACTGGTCCTTGAACCATGAACATCTCACGAACCCTAGCCGAGAGAGAGGTGGGCGAGCGCCAAGCAAGAACATCTGGGCAGCATCTTACTCGCCCACGTCGGTGTCAAAGGGGATCAGATCACCCCCTACTCCGATGCCAGTGAGCATGGAGAAGTCGAAGAGAGTCATCATCATCTCCCCCGCTACGGAAAGGTGGGAGGAATCGATGGTGTCCCACCACCTCTCCACCAGTACACCTAGAAGGGGCCTACTCGTAGTGAGGCGTGAGAGTCCCATGCAGAAAATGCCGAAGCCGGCCTCGTCGACAATCTGGCAGACTTCATTAGGCAACTCCATGTACCAACCCCGGGCGATGGTATTCCCATACCCCCGGAAGGCATGGGAATCTCCCTGTGTTCAAGACAAACAGATGCAAAGTAATGTCAGAAATACAGTGTTTGAATGCGTTCAGAATTGATAAAAATGCAGTGTGTGTGCATGTGTTCGAGTTGGCGCAGATATCATGTATGAACGTGCTCAGGGTGAACTAAGCATGTGATCTACAAATGTGTTTGTGATGATCAGATAAAGGGCAGTATCAATTATCCAAGATATACGACCTATATTGCAGAAAGTAAAGAGGAAGGGTATACCTCAGCGACACCGTAAGAAAGGTGCGACTCCGGCTTGCGTAGCAGGAGCTCCAATGGCGTACCTTGCGCGAAGCTCCTGAACTGCTGAATACTGTCGGGAGGCAGCACATGTATCGCGGGCTGGTATGTCGCTAGGTCAAAAGGCCGAACACTAAGAGACAAGAGCTCGACCTCGGGATCCATATCTATCTCTGGAGGAGCCCCACCCTGTGGAATGTCATCCGCCATCTCAAGAAGAGTGAAAAAATGGCCGAGGATATGGAAAATGGGCAAGAATGCCAAAAGTCAACCCTAAGGGGTGAAAAATGGGAGAAAAAGTAGAAGTGCGGAAGAAGGCATGGAAACCAAGGCTAACTCAGGAGAAACAAACCCCAAGTGAAGGAAATCAAGAATGAGGCACCGAAATCACGTTTCAATTGGTTCAAAGTGTTTGAAACGAAGAGGGTTTCGCAAATCGGAAGTTGCGAGAGGCTTGAAAATGAAGGAAAAGCTCGAATCGAAGGATGGAAAACAACCTAGAGAGAGAGCAAGAGTTTTCGGCTTGGAGGCAGTGAGGAAATAGGGTTTGAAGCCCTATACTTAAAGACCCAAGGTGAATGGACAAAATTGCCCAGAATCTACCACTTTTGGCCGATTGGCCAAATTGTTAGCCGATCGGCTAAGTTGTTGGCCAATAAGCTTGTTTGATGGTCGATGGATGGCCGATAGATTCCCCTTGTGGTCGATGGGTCTCCAATGCCCTTGTTTGGGGTATTTCTGTTGATTGGTACCCTCATCTTTCAAGAAAGTGCAAGAAAGTACACTTTTGAAGCTTAAGCGGCCTTCGTGATGACCTCGAACCGTGTCTTCCGTGTGCGGTGCTTGATATGCACGAGGTGTATCCTTTTTCGTATCCTTTTCTATATTGCAAGATTCGAAAATTGTTCAAGAATTGCTTTTGAATATCTTGCCTTACGAGTGTTTTGTCATGTTTGTAAGACGCGCATTTGTTATACGCCTTTTCACTCTTACATTGAGCATGCCTCATCTTGTTTTGAAGTTGCATCTCAACATTGTGGATAACATGCCTTTACCATGCTTACATTGAATATGTGCATCGTCACACTTGCATAGCATATGCCTGTTGTATTGAATGTGTGTCTACCATTACATTACATAGAGCATGCCTGTTGTATTGTCATGCACACCTTACTTGCGTTGTCACGCACGCTCGCTACATTGTTATGCACTTTCACTTGTATTGTTATGCACACACTATATGCGTTGTCACGCACGTTTTGCTTGCATTATTATGCGCACTCTTAGGTTGCATTGTCTTGCACCCCTCCATCCGCATTGTCACGTACTCTTAGGTTGCATTGTCTTGCACCCCTCCATCCACATTGTCACGCACTCTTAGGTTGCATTGTCTTGCACCCTTCCATCCGCGTTGTCACGCACCCTTAGGTTGCATTGTCATGCACCCCTCCATCCGCGTTGTCACGCACTCACTTGTTGCATTGTCATGCACACCTTGCTTACGTTGTCACGCACTCTTATGTTGCATTGTTATGCACACCTTGTTTGCGTTGTCACGCACCTTACTTGCATTGCTATGCACTGTTCACTTGCGTTGCTATGCACTTTTCACCTACATTGTTATGCACGTTTCACTTGCATTGCTATGCATATTTCCATCGGCATCATATGTGCACGTGTTTATCTTGTGTTGATATTATATTTTGATATAGCGTTGATCATATGTTCCTGTTATATTGTACTTGTCAAAATCTCCCTTTTGTGCAGGTACGATATTGTATGTACGGTTCGTTTGAAGTTGGTGAAACCAGGCGATATTGTGTGTACGGTTCATTCAAGAGAAGTTCCAGTTCAGTTTGACTGCAACCTTTCTCCACTCACGTGTGTCGCGTTTGGATGTACCCTTCTCCACTCGCGTGTGCCGCGTTTGGACGTACTCGCAATTTCTTGTGCAACCTTTTCTCCACTCGCATGTGTCGCATTTGGACGTACCCTTCTCCACTCGCGTGTGCCACGTTTGGACGTATTCGCACTGTTTAGTGCATCGCGCTCTCTTGCGTAACCTTTCTCCACTCGCGTGTGTCGCGTTTGGACGTACCCTTCTCCACTCATGTGTGCCGCGTTTGGACTTATTTGTACTATTTAGTGCATCGCGCTTTCTTGCGCAACCTTTCTCCACTCACGTGTGTCGCGTTTGGACGTATTCGCACTGTTTAGTGCATCGCGCTCTCTTGCGCAACCTTTCTCCACTCGCGTGTGTCGCATTTGGACGTACCCTTCTCCACTCGCGTGTGTCGCGTTTGGACGTATTCACACTGTTTATTGCATCGCGCTTTCTTGCGTAACCTTTCTCCACTCACGTTTGTCGCGTTTGGACGTACCCTTCTCCACTCGCGTGTGCCGCGTTTGGACGTATTCGCACTGTTTAGTGCATCGCGCACTCTTGCGCAACCTTTCTCCACTCGCGTGTGTCGCGTTTGGACGTACCCTTCTCCACTCGCATGTGCCGTGTTTGGACGTATTCGCACTGTTTCGTGCATCGCGCTTTCTTGCGCAACCTTTCTCCACTCGCGTGTGTCGCGTTTGGACGTACCGTTCTCCACTCGCGTGTGCCGCGTTTGGACGTACTCGCACTTTCTTGTGCAACCCTTTCTCCACTCGCGTGTGTCGCGTTTGGACGTACCCTTCTTTACTCGCGTGTGCCGCGTTTGGACGTATTCGCACTGCTTAGTGCATCGCGCTTTCTTGCGCAACCTTTCTCCACTCGCGTGTGTCGTGTTTGGACGTACCCTTCTCCACTCGCGTGTGCCGCGTTTGGACGTATTCGCACTGTTTAGTGCATCGCGCTTTCTTGCGCAACCTTTCTCCACTCGCGTGTGTCGCATTTGGACGTACCCTTCTCCACTCGCATGTGCCGCGTTTGGACGTACTAGCACTGTCTAGTGCATCACACTTTCTTATGCAACCCTTCTCCTCTCGCATGTGGTACGTTAGGACGTCTACGGTCTCAAACACTCAGCTGCGTTCTAGTGCTTAGTTATTCACTTTCTTCTCTCGTGTGTGCCGCGTTCGGATGCTTTTCTCCTTTTGCGTTTGATACGCTAAGAGGTGCTTCATTTGAGACTCCGGGTGTCCACGGTAGTCGCTTTTAGCCTTCTCCGTGTGAGACGCAGTGAGAATTGCATAATTTTCTTACATCCTTTCTGTTAGAATGTGTGGGACTATTCTTTCTTACTCACTTGCTTAACTGTTGTATTTATTTTGCATAAATGCTTCATCACAGCTTTCTCTGCATGATCATAAGTTATGTTCGGCATTGTACATGTCATTCGCATCTTGCCCCTACTTGCAGGCGCATCTCTTTGTTATCTTGTATGCTTGTCTAAGTCTTTGGCCTCGTCAAAAATGGGTCGTCTCTAGGCTTTGACATTCACTCTCGTCATCTTATGACTTTCGAGTTCTGTCAAAGAGGGGCAACTGTAGACACCCCATTTTTGACCGTCCTCAAGACTTGGGCGTCATCGTTTGAACACGCGATGATCATCCATGCTCGTGTTCGTTTTGAGTTCCCGAAGGTCTCGGTTGCGCGCCTTGCCTTAGAACCTCTCAACTTGTCTGTTTTGTGCTTGGTTATGGACCAAGGACTTGTGGCTTTGCTTCTGAGGGAAGAGGGTGGCTTGTTGGTCATCCCTACAACCCATCGGCCAAGCCTTGTGCTTATCGGCCTTGTCTTCTTGCCATCGGCCATTGGTGGTGGCCGATCGGCACCCTTTTTGGTCGATCGGCCATATCTTTTGGCCGAGACCTTTCCACCTGCTTTTGTAGATATTTTTGTGCCAGCTGTGACAGCTGGTGAGCACAGATTTCATGTATGGAGGGATTGAAACAAGTCTCAAGCTTGCTCAACAAGCTTGAGATTTGATTTTCTATAAGAAATGAGACCCCTCTTCCTTTCCAGAGGTTCTGAAATCTTGATATAGAAGATATATATCTCTCTATATATATATTTCCTCTCTCTCTCTCTCTCTCTCTCTATATTTGCACTTGTTTGTGCTCAAAAGTGTAATTTCTTCACACTTTTGCACTAAAGCACCTAGTGAAACACCATCCTCTTGTTGCTGAGGTGCTTGAGATTTTTTTTTGAACTCAAAGTTTGGTTTTTAGCTTAGAAAGTTGCTGAAGTTACCTCTTTGAAATTGTTCTACAAGGGTGAGTCACTAATCTTCTTTTAAGCTTTGTGTTCATTACTTACTTAGCCTTATTTCATGCTTACTTTGGCTTAACTCTCAACTGTAAAAAGCTTCATTTTCATGTGTTTGAAATGATTGTTTAAGGTCTTGTTGGTGTTGGGGGTGATCTACCCCTTGAGTGCCTTGTTTTGCCCTGTTTTGGGCTACCCCTTTAGGATTTTGTTTTAGCCTTTGTTTGACCTTTCTACCACTAAATCAGTGGTGGAAAGTGTGTTTTGAGGTCTTAGATAGGAGAGGGTCATCCCCTCTCCTTGCGTCTTGCATACTTGTATAGATGGCTCATCAAAGTAGCATGTTTGTCTAGCATGTATTGGTTCCATTTCAGCAAGTTTTTGGTGTTATTTTAGCATGCCTCAACTCTGTTTAGGTTGGTTTTATAGCATCTTGCATGCTTCACATACTTGTAGTGCAATCTTGCATGATAGCCTAACATGCATCATGTGTTTGAACCATCATTCTAGCATGTTTTGGCTTAACTCCAAGAAGTTTTTGGCCATGTTTTACCATGCTTAAGGTTTGATTTGTGTTGTTTTGGTCATACATGCATTGCTTCGTATAGCCATGGTTGATACTAGCTCATTAGTCTTGAGTTTCCAAGCCACTAGCATGCATTGCTTTGGCTATTCACATGATTTGGCATCATTTGTTATGTGATTTCAAAGCATGTTTCATTGTCATGCCCTCACATTTGTCACTTTTTCCATGCTTTGAGGAGTTGGTTCTTTATGCCTTAAGAATAAGCCATTGTGTATGCCTTCATGCCTAAGCTTGTGAGCTATCATTTTAGGGTGTTTTGGGGGTTATTTTGCCATTATGTAACTCTGATTTTTGTTGGCGAAGCCATCCCATGCTTGGTCTTAGTAGGTGTAGTGTAATCCTCCTTTTTGGCCTCGCATATTTTCATGCTTCATGCTCACCATGCTAGCTCATTTTAGCTTCCTTCCATACATGTTTTAGCATCATTTTGACATGCTCTAGGATTGTTTTGGGTTGCATTGGCCATATGCTTCATGTTTTGCATAGTTGTAGTACAATTGGCCTTGTTAGCTTTGAGTTTTGAGCACCATAGCATGCTTAATTTGTGACATGTATATGATTTGGCATCATTTACCATGACATTTCAGAGCATATAGACTTGCCATGCTCCCACTTCTTTCACCCTTTGAGTGCCTCTAAGGGTTGTGCATTGTTGCCTAGCTTATGGACCAATATGTGTGCATGCATGTCTTCCCTTTTGGTGCCTTAGCTTTGGTGTTTATGGCCACTGTTTTGGACATGATTGAGGTCTGTCCATATCCTGTTTAAGTCCATCTTGCATGTTGTTTGCATTACATGTTGTTTGCATGCTTGTTGTTTGCATTGTTGCTTGCATACTTAGGTTGCATTCAATAGACTTTGCATGCTATTAGCTTTGATAAATTGCTCATGTTGTTTGCATGTTGCATGTTCATGATGTTTAGCATGTTGTTACATGCTTGGTGCATTGCATGTTGTCGCATGCTTGTTGCATTCCATGATATTTCCGTGCTTGTTGCATTGCATTGTGTACATGCCTTGCATTGCATTGTGTTTGGAAAGGGTGTCAATCCAAACACGAGGAACGAGGGATGTTTCATACTTGAAGTGATGAAACGTGCCTCATTTCTCGGTCGCCGACCCTCTTGATCATGCATGATAGAGGTTAAGGCATTTATGTGTTTTTTTGTGCATTCATTTGACATTGATTTGTGCAACTCGGCCTCTTTGGCCATCATGCATTGAGATGCGTGATTGATGGCTCGAGAGTCGAGCACTACACTCCTTTGAACTTTAAACATGATAAGGAGTGTGGTGGTACACACATTTTCTTGCAAATACACTACCATGCCTCTGTTCAGTGCTCTGTTGCAACAAAAGGAGAATTTGCAGGAAGTGTTGGTCGATCGACCATCAGAGCTGTCGACCGGCCATCTTAGTTGGCCGATCAGCTATCAATTTGGCCGATGATCATTTTCTTTGGCCGATGGCCACTCCTTTTGG